ATAAATATTTCCCCCCAAGTGGATGATGAATTGGAATACTGGTGTATTAGTGTAGGTTCATTAATCGTAACAAATGTACTGCTCTGCTCGGGGGAAGTGTAGATAGTGGGGAACATTGTGTGTGTCAGGGCACGGGGTCTATGGGGAGTCCCTGTACCTTCTACCTTCTGCTCAGTTATTCTGTGAACCTAAATCCACTCTAAAAAGTAAAAAAAAAAAAAAAAGGGGGGGGTGGTGGCGTGGAGGTCGGCATGGAATGTGAGGGCTTGCAGTAGCAGAAAATAATATAGAGGTTGCACTGGGTACTGGGAAGAGTGGGATGTGCCCTGGACCACATACAGGACCTAAGTTCTACTTCTAGTTCAGTCACTTACTACTCAGACATCTTGTATAAATCACTTAACTTCCCCCAAACTCGGCTCAGAAGCTAAATGTAGCTAATGTCGTTTGTCCTGACTACCCCTCCAGGCGGCTCCAATTAGAAACTACTTGTTTTTCAACCACTCACTCGACAGGCACATTTTGCAGGCCCACTCAATGGCAGTTTCAGTGCTAAATGCTATTAAAGGCTACATAAGCACATAAATGTATGACAGAATTATAGCTAATGGAATTTTCTTGTTACAGAACAAACTCTTTTTAAAACTTCATTCTTATTGGAAGTTTCCCTAATCTATTTCAAGACACTCTCTTACCCTAGTAAGTACAGTAGAGTAAACAAAATGATCTCCCTGGAGTGATGAACTCATCCTATGCCTCAGTGTCCCATGCCCAACAATAGCCTACCCACTACCCAGAGATGAGGATGAGGAAGGCACCCCAAGGTGGACACTTTTCTACATCTAAACCTTATCATCTGCTGCTTTGCTAATCAGTCTCACTTGCACCCAAAATGGCCTATCATAAAATGAGTTTTCTTTAAGGTGTCAGGCTTTTGGATTCTAATTTATAGGCTTGGCAACAATATTTAGAAAGACATATTGCTACACATGAATGTAACAGATACATTATAAAAATCTAAAACATGAACTGAGCCCTGCATTTGGAAATCATAGGAATGAAAGGGAAAAAAAAAGAGTCTTGGGGCGCCTGGGTGGCTAAGTGGGTTAAAGCCTCTGCCTTTGGCTCAGGTCATGATCCCAGGGTCCTGGGATCGAGCCCCACATCGGGCTCTCGGCTCAGCAGGGAGCCTGCTTCCTCCTCTCTCTCTCTCTGCCTGCCTCTCAGCCTACTTGTGATCTCTGTCTGTCAAATAATTAAATAAATAAAATCTTTTTAAAAAAAAAGTCTTTTTTTCTTCTTTTATCCAACCTTGTGATTATAGCTACTTATTTCCTTTAACCTGGATGATGGATTTATGGAACTCTTAACTTTAGAAACCCACTGCTGTCTATTTTATTTCCTTTAGTTGTCATCTCCAGAAGTCTCTGTGCAACAAGTAGTTGCAATAAAATCATACTTATTAAAAGAAACTCTGTTGCCCCACCCCAAAATAGGGAAGAAAGCTATTAAGTATTAAGTAAAATGTTTAATTGATATAAAAACTCTTGTGAATGAAATAAGATAGAAGAAAAAAGAGAAAACCATCTAGATCTGTAAGTCACAATTTTTTTCACATGCTGATTAAATGTTATGATTAAATCTATAGCCTATTGATTACAGACTTTATAAAATACTTAACATTTTAAACTTACAAGAAAATGCCAAATGATACAGTTCTTAAATGAAGAAAGAAACTATATAAAATAAAATAAAGTAAAAAGAGACAACTAAATGGTAATTTTCATTACAAAACTTGCCAACCAATTGGTAAGCAGCAATAAGACCATGAAAGACAGTGGGATTTGACTCTAATACACTTAAGAGTCTTGAATTTATTTGTGTCTCTAAGTAGTCACATAGGAAAGCCATTTCAGAGGCTAGAATATATTTTCCTAATTAGAGGAAAGGGCTGGACTGGTGTAAAACATTTTGCCAATGCATGAGACAATTACCAATATTAGTAGATGCAATAGCATTCAGATCAGATTAAGGATAATAGTAATAAAAGAAAAGCAGAGATAATACAATGGTCATGATTTAGAAAGACATGAGAATGCCTTCTCGACATCACCTGTAACCTGAATTGTGTTGGAGGAAAGACTGGAAATGCTAATAAGGAATGTGATTAAAGGTGGGCCTGTGGTTATAAATTGCTTTTTTAATGGTGATGATAGTAGCTGACATAGAGTATAATAAGAAGATGAGAATGTCACTATCAATTTTTATTAGTGTCATGAACAATATACAGTATATTTAAATTAGCTTCATTTGTATAAGTATTTTTGTAAGTAGTAGGTCTAGAAGCAATAACATGTCCAATGCATTCTAAAAAGAAGAACTAAATAAAGTTGCCAATGTTCCCTAGAAAATGGCCATAACTTTTACACTGGGAAAAATGTGCCACATATCCTAAGATACTCAGAATTCAGGTGCACAAAAATTCTGGATTCTAGAGCACAACAAATCTGCAGAATAAATTGGAGGAGCAATTGTAGCAAATGAATAAATTCATACAAAAATGTCAAAGACACTAAAAATACAACCTTCTATATAAATTGGAATGCTTTCCCAAGATTTACGTAGAATGATAGTTTAGGTCTACCCTTGAGTCAACTTAAATCATGTAAGAAACAATTTGGAATCTATTTGGCCTAAGCATGAATATTCTGTTGAAAGTAAGTAATTATAAAATTAAAAAATCAGTTAGTAATTTTTATAAACTTGTTCTTATTAAAGAAAAATAGGTGAATTGGGTTTGCTAGTGAATTTTCCCAGCAATTATTACCAGCTTTCTGAGTTGGTCTGGTGACAAATTAGGTAAAATTGAATATCTGACAAAAAAATAACTCATAGAGAATTAGGAAAATAGGAAATATTTTTACTTTTAATCATAACATCTTCTTTGTTCAAATTCCAGACACCTAAACTGTTGAAAAACAGGCCTTAAGGGTTAAAATATAGAATTTCAAAAATCCAGCTGCTGACAATATGAATAAGCCATTTCTTTTTAAATTGTATTCTAGATGAGTAGTATTGTGTATGAGAAAAGCATAGCTTGGGGGTTAAGAACCTGTCCTGAGTCAGAAGTCTGGACTACTTACTAGCTGTGTAATGTTGGACTAGTTATTTTCATTTTCTTCATCTGAAAATTGGAAAAACCATAGTTCCTACCTTATAAAGTTCTTGTGAAGATTAAATGAGAGAGTAGCGTGAGGAAGAATGCTTAAGAGTGTCTGGCACACGGCAAGACCTCAATATTCTATTAGTTTTATTGCAATTACTAAAGCTAACAGTGTGCTTAAATAGTAATCTCTATTTCTCCAAGAAGTTTATATTAGACATTTTTTTTCCTACAAAGTTGCTTCTCTCTGCTAATTCCTCTCTTTTCCTCTATGAATTACAGATTTCTCCTTAAGCCAAAACACACACTCATTCATTCCTTCAAAATTCTCTTTTCTTTTCAAGTTATTTTTCAAGACATATCACCAAAAGGCCCACTTCCCTTCCTAGAATGGTTTGACTCCCTAAAAAGACTGACTGGAGACATAGTTATTTCAACAGTTGGGGAAGACCACGAGTTCCTGGGTACCCTGTTTCTGATTGGACCACTAGGAAACTATTGATTAATAGGAAAACATCTCATGCACTTTAAGCCCTTGATCATTTTAAACTTCTCTTGGTAATTCTATAGGGAACATAAAGTCTCCAAACAGATAGGAATTTTAAATGAGAGAAGATTTAAAAACAAGTGATTAAGCAAGTCGACACTTCATTCATTTAATCCTGTCCTGATATGTGGGTGCATTCTCCTTTCTGCTCAAGAAATTTAAAATGTAAAATGTAAACTTCTCAATCATGAAATTGAAAATATAAGCAGGACCGGGGATTCCCTATTAACAAATTTCCACAGAGAAGGTCATTAGCATGAAAGCTTGTACTCCATTCTGATCGATATGTATTCCACTAAATAAGTGTAACAAAACTGTGACAGAATGAATCCTCTGAAACATGGAAGTAACTAAGAGAGCCTTTTCTTCAGGAAATCACAGAACACAGTTGCCTGGAAAAATAGCCATGTAAACTGTTCATGGATACAGTGTAAATTTCAAAGTGTATCAAACACTGTTATACAACTTCCTGTTTTCAAACATTTCCCTGAGGAACACATATAGACCATTGTTGTTTTCAGAAAGGTGGATTAAATAGTAGGTTTGAGACTTGGTTTGCAATAGCAAATAAGGGACAAGGGACAAAGGATTCATCTTGCTCCTGACACAATTTCTCTAAAAAATATCACTGATACAAAATATGTATGTCAGCATGTGTTTCCTTTTAAAAATGTACTTTAAAAAAAAGATAAATTACATCTTGAAAGAAACTCTGCAAAAACAAAACAAAACAAACTCCACAATTAATTGGGGTTTATTCTGCAAAACCTACTATAATGGAATTTCCATAACATTGTCCTAGGTACATTAATAGTCTCTAAGGTGAAAATGCATGGACACACCCACAAACCTACTATCTTCCAATGTCTACAGTTAAAAATTTATATGATAGAGTTATCTAATTATTTAAAACAAAAACTTGAGAACTTGGGACTTGGGTCATTTTTTAATCAGGCTCACAGATGACAATTCAGTTCTTCACTCATCACCAGTGCACAAACCAACCACAGGCGAGGTATGGACACAAAAGTGGCAAACATTCCATGGAGGGAAGTGGGAAACTACATTATAGCAAAATGTTGTGTTTTGTTATCAAAATGGGAGCCCTAATTGTTTTGAACCAATTATGGTTGGTTTCTCCCTTTCTCTTCTCCTCTGCGACATAGACAAATAAGCTTGTTGGCTTATTCCTCCTACTACCACAGGGATTCTCAGGTTTGAAATGTACAAAAACCTTCTAATAATTAAAGCCAACTGATACTAGAAAAAGTAACATGGGACAAATCTTACCTGAGCTCCTGAATTAGAGAATCTATTGGCACTGTTGACAAAAAGAAAGAAAAATCAGTTTAATTTTGAAAACTGTATGACTGAAACTTTTCACCCATCTAAAAATAATGACCAATAAATGGTTAATACAGACACCACTTAACTTCCCACTGGGTGAATAGATCATTTCTGGTTCTGGTTCTTTGGAGTGAAAACCAGTGGGTAGATGAATATGGTCCAGAACAGATGATTCAGGGTTTAGTGCCTTAGATGACTCTGGGACCTTGCATTAATGGATTCGATTTTCCAAATACCTGTCTTTAAAAATTCATTGAAAACTTCCAAGAACATGAAGGACTTGAATTATTTTTAAATCAATTTTATTGTTCATATGAAATGTTTCAAAATAATCCTAAACTGACACTTTTATTGACATTAGACAAGTATTTATACAAAATGGAAAGTTTTACTAAGTGGATGCATCCCAAGATAATATTCCATAAATTTCATATGTATAGAAAGAAGAAAATATGCTTTAGCCATGTTAATATCAACATGGTTTTAAAAATAAGAATCTTGTAAAATAAAAAAAAAGCTTTGATTTTTTTTTCTGACAAGTGATGGGAATTAAAGAAGTTCATGTTTATAAATACCTGCCTACACAAGGATAAGCAGCATATTGAGAAAGACAACAGGTGGTTTTAAAGATTACTCATGACACACGAGAAACAGTTGTTTCATTTCTAGAAGAACATTTTGGCTATATTTAAGGGTGTATATTATGTGCCAAAAGAATTCAAAGTACAAAAAGAATTGCAAATTAAAAGACCCACATTTTAAAAGTATGCTAGAATAGTGTGCTTTTAGAAGTCAAAAGAAGGGATTCATATTCAAACACAGTCCCTAGAATGCTGGTATTTATGGCAGATGCAAGTTTATCCTAAATAACAATACAAATCATTTTTTTTCCTTCAACTTGTATTCTATTGAGAATTTCGCAGCATAAAAATTTAATGTTTAGAACTACTGCATTCCAAATATTGGGATATATGATGTAATTACTTTAAATATAACTTGAAGTAAAACGGGGTACTACCATGGTATGAAACTACTGTTTGGATAGAGAAAGTTCCTGCATCTTGTAAAGCATTATTCTGCTTTTTGGCTGTCATAGCTAATGATTTTTACTGAGATGGTTATATTTTAACAGAAAAAAATCACCCTGGAATTTACTGAAAATTTTGGGATTCTGGACTTTACTCAAACAGGCATTATTTACCTTGAGTACAAATAGAAACATAGCTAAGGAAAGCATTTCATCTGATTAGCCCACTTTCAACAGTAAATCTCAAAAACCCTTCCTTAGCAAGGCTGACTGGGAGAAGAGTCAGGTGGGGAATGGCTATCCAGAGTGTTTTCAGAGGCTATGGTGAAACTACAGTTTTCCATTTAGAATTAAGGGTCACAAAAATATAGCTAATTATAATAAAAGTTATTTTCCTTAAGGGGTATTATTGCCAGTCAATCCTGTTTTCCAGATGTTTAGATCATCAAGGGCCTGTTTATATTTCAATATTACATTACCATCTGTTGGTTACAAAAAGAGAAGGATAACCGGCAAGTTAAACCTTTCAAACGTTACTTTGCGGAGCTGCCGGAAATTCCCAGCAGGGACAGGCAAAAAACAAACATCATCATTTTACTCAAACTAAGTTTAGATTGGGAGCCACTAAACCAGATAACATAAAAATCAAAATCTGCTTTGGCAGTAAACTTAACAATTCTGTCTTTTCCCTTGGCCATTAAAGGTCACTTCAATAATTTGGAGGTCTCCATGAAGCATTCTTCCCTTGCTGACCCTTATGTTGTTTTGCAGGATGTTTTAAATCTACTCATGATTGCCATTTTGTAAAAATTAGCATCACACATCATTGGGACTTTTCTGAGTCCTTTAGCTCCTGGTTCATAATATTTTGCCTCTCAATGCCATGATCCAATGTCCTAGCTTGATTTAAAAAAAGAAGCCCTGAGGAAGTTGTAATGATTCTAACTACACATTAGGGACTGAGTACTAGAACTCCCATATTTCATGGTGTGGTGGGCACGGTGTCACGGAACCTGCTTGCTAACTCACCCTTGGTTCCTTTAGAGCGGGTACGCAGTGTTTTATCTTCAGCCTCTGCATCCATCTGTAACATGAACACAAAGTCCTGAGGTCATTCCTTTGACATTGACCAAATTACAAAAACATGTCCTTGCCAGTTCTGAAGGTCATAATGAAAAACAGAGTAGTCCTCCACGCTCTTGAATAGCACCCTGCCTTGGCAGGTAAGTAGCTGCGACTGCTCTTGTAGTCCATGAGTTTTGGAAATACTTTTATAGATGCTGAAACCAGAGGGAACAGTGAGAAGAGGGCAGATGTCCTTGTCCATAAGTGTTTGCTAGCAATTCAAACACTTCTGGCATTACAAAAATTGGGGGAAAAAAAAAGGATTGTCTGATTAACAGTGGTTGTAAAGTAGACAAAACCTCAAATGCCAAACCAAAAGGTTTCAGACTAATTTACTAAAACCTGATTCTAAAGCAATGTGCTTTCTTTTCAGGTGTGGAAGTTTTTAACATATTTTTACTAGACCTTGTCTGATATGTACCTCTTTCTACTTCAGGAAAAGTAATCCCCCGTGTAAAAAAGCAACATGAAGGCCAATCACTGAAATGCCCCCATTTCAAAATACCACTGGAAATGTTAATCATCAAATGACATACATTTACTCCCAGAATTCCAGAATAAATATTGGTTCTAATCATGCAAATCCGTGAGGAAAGTGAAATTTGAGTGCTGCATGTGTCTGCATCAAACTCCCTAAAATATTACCTAATATCTTAAATGTAATCAAATAAACTATTGAAAGAATAGAAAGACTTTAAAAGCCTGCTGTTTTTGTCCCTCTGGAGATAGTCAGACATGACTACTCCCATCGTTTTCATTAGAATCTTCCAATAATGTCTAGTTTAATTCACCTTTGCACATTATCAGAAGGAATCCTTAAACAGTGAGAAGTTATTTTGCTTGAAAATGAGAAGCAGGCAGAAGGTGCTGTCCGTGGTCCCCATCCTTAAATCCTGACATAGCGTGTATGTGGTATGACTGCAATGGTAATGGGAGGCGCATCTCTGCTCTCTCAGGCTGAGTTGTGATTGAAGGCACTGACCTGCCATAGACTTATAATAGGGGAGCAGGTGTGGCAATGATGGACTTTAATTTCCTTTAATAAACCTTTTATGTGCCACACTTTTACTGCCATTCGACGCTCTCCAAGGTCCTGCACATAATAGGTTCATTACTTTTGATTACTATAGTCTATTGAGACAAACAACTCCAGAACACACTATATATTATGTTCAGTTAAACCAATATAGACAATTTATCCATTGTGCATTTTTTCACCTGCAACACTACAGACAAAATTAACGACAGCTCTTGTAAGCTAAAACTATTAAAACCACCAGTACTCTTTTGTCATCATTTCATAATAAACACCACACCAATCACTGAACTGTTTTTTAAATTAGCAAACAAAAAGTGTTCACTGCTTTTGCTAAGCTGCAGTCGCTTTAGTCTAAATAAAATGGCCCATCATTATGAATATTTTAAAACTACATAATAAGAGGAAACAACAATAAAACAGAGGTGATTTTTTTTCCTGTAGATTTTCCTTCTTTTAAAACCACATGAATTTATGACAGATGCGACACTGCCTAGGATTAAAATGGCTTGGTTTACTCAGGATGGTGAGCACTGCTTTGTGAAATCCTCCTCCTCCGTGAGTATCTCTGTTGCATATAAAGTGGCTCAACTCAAGCAAACTCCCCTCCATGTGTTAAATGAGTAACTCGGTTAAGAGAGATCAGTAGCAGGAGGATTAAAACAATGAAAAACACGAACTATTTCTGAGGAGACTACTCCCATGGGTGAGTAGCAACTCAACATAACTCTAATATTTTCCTGCCACATAGGTGCTATGAGCTCTCCCTAACCAATGTGAAAAATCTCTCCTGAAAGGCAAGTGAAGATTGAACTCCATGAGTTTCTTTACCAAAACTGAAATACAGGTTGCAAACAGTGCCAGCAGGTACATATAAAAGTTTTAGAAACCTACTTAAATGTAACCTTCCTTATAAAAGCTTTAAGACTAATTCCATTTTGCAATTCAGCTATTCCCTTGGACCTGAAGGGTCTGCAGCCACCCCATGAGCTGCCTCCCCATTAAAGTCATTGGAAAGAATGCATAAATATTCATGGACCTCTGCTTGATTATGCTTGGAATGCTAGTCTCATAATTGCATTTTGTGGTGCTATTGTCCTCTTGGTGGTACAGCATATATATCCTATGTAAACATTTTAAAGACTGGTAACTCATTCATAAAGCTAAGTTTTCAAATTTAACTTGTGAGCCAAGTTATATGAGTGAAATGGATTGAGATCATAATATATAATCCATCGATTTCAAATTCTCTCTCTGTTTCACAACCAAAGAACAATAGAAGTTACTAAGTTCAGTGTCGACTCATGTCTGATAGCTCATTGAGGAATAAGAAGATCAGATACGTAAAGCAATGTGCTTTCTTTTCAGGGGTGGAAGTTTTTAACATTCATGAGATGGCTTGCTCTCCTGACAGATCTCAATCTGAAGATAAGACTTTGTTTTCTAAAACCTTATATATGGGAGGAGAAATTTCTAACTATTCTTTTATATGGACTACTCTTGTGGATTTTATAAACTCCCAATAATTGGACTTAATTTTTGTAAAATCAAACTTCATATTCAGTGAGTACCTTTTGCTGGGAATGGTGCATTAAAGAGATTTCTACCTCAGTGCATGGGGTAAGTGTGGCAGGGCAGGGGTGGGGGTGAAATTCTCATTCTTTAAACTTCTTCCAGACCTATAGAGAAGGCCCATGGCTATGGCATGATTCAGGAGACTGACCTAACTAATACGTGATACAATATGGGAAACTACACTTCTCGCTGGGAACATTTTTTTTTTTTTCTGTTGTAAGAGGATACTTGATCATTTTTACTGCGGAAGTCCCAAATGCTATTGACAAGTCTCCAATGAATCTGGCAAATCTTTTTTTTTTTTTTTTGAATCTGGCAAATCTTAATGAGTCATTTCCTTTCTCAAAACAGAGATCTGATTTCCTTAAAAAAAAAAAAAAAACTGTCCTTCTTCAGGTTTCTTAGAACCTTTGTTTATCTCATTTTGTTGTTTATGAATGGGAACAAGTCAAGATATTTTCTGGGATTCCTATAATGGGTTCCTCCTGGCTCTGATAATCTACTTATCAATAGAGATAAAATATTAAAAATACGCTTTGCCATTTGTTTTTCCTGATCTGAAACTACTTTAAGAAAATTCACCTAGCCTACAAGTATGAAGATTTTTATGTACAAATATGAAAAGGAGAAAAAAGTGGTTCTTACCTGGTATTCATAATAAAGCCATGAAAAAAAATTTACAAGATTTCATTCTCTGGGAAGAGGAGTTAATATGAGGAGAAATGGCAAGAGGGAAAGAAACTTATGAGATAAAGAAGGCAAAGAAGTGAAACTTACAGGAAGGATACGCAAGATCCAATAAGAAGTAAGTAGATAGGCAATGAAGAAGAAAAATGAACATAAAAATGAAATTTAACTACTTAGTTGAATTTGGAAACCTGTTACTTAATATCCTTATATACTTGCAACCCTATATACAGGTACCCATTGGAAATTCCCTAGTTGCTTTTACTTGATCATATTTTCTTACTGGCCTCCACATCAGGGGCAGTCAGCAGATCTCCTCATCACCCAGTGTATAGATCGGGAGCCTTCCTCTGAGCTGAAGAGAAAGTCCTGAAATTGTTGGTTTGTAGAAAGGAGAGCCTCAAGGAACAGGACATAAAGTTTATAAAATCAATTTTGTTTTCAGTCACACAAACAAATTACTGCTATGTGAGGAAATTTAGTTCCCTTTGATTTTATTTTTCACTCAAAATCCTACTTTAACCTAATGGTTAAAAAAAAATTCTCCAATAAATATTTAATCATTTCTTAAAAACTGGATAAAAAATATCTTTTGGTGATATTGAAGTTTTATTTTTCCTTTCAACAGAACTATAGACACTGGTGTCCTAGATAGATAGATAGATAGATAGATAGATAGATGATAGATAGATGGATACAAATATGTATGAGTAATCTTGAATTTGTTACATTAATACAAAAAGCCATAGTGATCATAACGTTTTGAGCACAACTTCTCAAAATCCTGATACAATTAAACTTCATACTCTACTTACATATAATCTTATGATGGTAGCTACCTTTAATTTGAGAAGTCCTTCACATACACTCAACTTGCAATAATTTCCATTTATAACAAGATTTAATTGTGTTTCCCTCCTCAGAGCTTTGGACTGGCAATGCATTTTTGAAGGTTGTGCCACATGACTCTTGTTAGATGTCATTTCAATCCCAGGGAACACGTGACAATGGAGAGAGGAAGCTCTATGGCTGCTGAGAAGAGGTCCTGGGGTCCTCTCCATGAGGAGCCTTTTATCCTCAGTGGATGCTTCCTTTACAAAATTCAATTTAAAAAAAAAATAACAAAGAGAAACTCAGGAAGTTGGAAAGTGCTAAACCCAGAAAATGAAACAACTGGAGGATGCCAGTATCTTAGAATGAAATTTGGCCAGATTGAAGAACAAAGAACCTTACACTGAGTGCCCTTTCTTTTGCTGATTCTGGCATCATTTTCTTTTAAATACAGGTTTGGATCAGCCCAAAACGGCAGCAAAAGCTGTCTCCCTCTTATACAGGGAATGGATGGGGAACATGAGTTCTAATACTAAAAGAATAGTTTTCTTGTTGAGAGAATATTGAGATGGAATGTTCAAGTATTTGTTTTCTCTCTTTTAACCCTCTTTTTACTTTTCTGGTTTTCTTTTCATATGTTTCTTTTTGCTCAGAAAGAAGACATCAAAAAATGAATTTAAAAAAATGTAAAAATAAAAATTGTTTTTTGCATCATTCAAGATACCATATTGATTTTCTCTACCTTCTCTAAATCCTTTATTCTAGATAAAATGAAAATTTTCTGAATCTTTTATCTTTATCCCTGATTCTAACTCCCTGTTCCTACTTATGTTTCTTATTATACTATCTTTGGTTCTGCACAGAAAGCTAAGGAATGGAATGATGTGTCCCCTTTAGATTTAGAATACCTCTCTTGTCTGCCCTAATCTTCCCCACCCTGACAAAAACTACACCTAAGGAAGAGACAGACTCAGTCCACCATCAGAGCAAGTACAGTTCTCTGGAAAACTCTTCTTTCTGAGAGCCAATTTCATTCCCATTCCCCTTAGAGGAAGTGATTCTCACAGGGATTTCCAGAGTCACTTGGAAATGCACTCCAGTAAAAGAAATCTTCGACCTGAGACAAGCTTGTGTAGCTTTATAAGGAAGTTCGTCTATTTTGAGTTTCATTTTTCATTTCTGAGTTGTCACTGCTTTGTCGACTTCATCCTGTAACTTCACACAACTGGCAAAGCTGAATATAAACCAAAGCCATATGTTTGTGTCCTTTTGCCAAACGACTCCAGCAAATAGTTCTATTATTCCCTTAGGTAGCCAACGTGTGCCAAGGATTTCTATTAGTCGCTGTACCACAGCCTCTGAGTCACAGCTTTGTGATATAAGGGGGCAATCACCAGCTTTATGTTTTAGGAGACTTTTTGTGTATTTTTTTTTTAATATGCCCGGTTTAAAGACAATTTGGGTTAAATAATACCCTAAAAGGGCCTTAAGAATTTTTTTTCTTACTGATATATTAAGATGTATGTGAACAAATATGTAATTGTTAGAAGACAAGCTACTTCATATAGAGATAAATTATTTTTAATAGGTTTTTCCCAAGGACAACTTAATTTTTTACTTTCCAGTGTTTGTAGGAATTAACTTCAGAAGTCATCTACAGTGCTTTTAAAAACATGCTTTTAAACTATCTCACTTATTTATTCTTAATTGATTCTTCAGTAAACTAATTTCTAATACAAATGAATTTAAATGTATTTTTAAAGACAATTTTAATGCTGAAGCTTTCTTTAGGGGTAAACATGTATGAATAAATAATATAAACCAATCAGTATGCAAAAGGACTCTACCTGTTTAATATTTTTAAATATTAAAATGATCATGCTTCTGACAAAAATCCCAATTCCAAATTCAGCACTAACAATAAATTTCTTTCAAAGCAAATCCACCAAGTGCTGTTATAAAGGAGAGCTTTTATATAAATGCTTTGATTGGGTACATTTTATTTCAACATATTTTCCTTTTTAACACAAAATGTTGCCTTACCTCCCTTTTCTTCAGGTAACTTGTCTGCCAATTTGGTTTGCCCTTGCTCTGTCAAAGTGACAAAATTTCTTTGTCCACTTCAGTGAGAAGTCCTTAAATTCATTCTATTAAGATCAAAATAACAAAAAGGAAAGAGTATCAAATTAAACAGAAGATCAGTAGTAAACAATGAAGTGAACAATAATGCATTGACACTTTTACCTGTAATCTGGTTGGGCTTTACCATAGAGAGGACGAAAAATTGTATACTACAATATCAATGAGAAAAAGACTTTTATATTTTTAAAGGTAGTCAAATTCATTCTGGTCTTAATTACTAAACTATACATGTATATATTACGTCTTCAATTTGGTAGGGAAATTGGATAGTATTATCTACTAGTATTTGTACTATTATCATTAGTATTTTTACTTTTAACCATGAAAAGAAGAAGTTCAGACAAGATTTGGAAAGTACTCTACTCAAGATATCACAAAAGACAGGTTCAAAATTCATCCTGTTCTTGTTTAGAACTCTCTTGAATGAGACTTTCATATAATGCTTGTAATGCTTTTTGCCAATATTTTAACTTGCTTTCCATAGACACGATTTACCCTTGTTTTACTTTGCATTCAGATATACCACACAGAGCTGCTTCACCTCTATTTTGTCCCAGGAATGGGAAGAGAATCTGTCTTCAGACCATTTGGCCCTTGAGAGGAAACTTTGAAATTCAGCACAGTACTTTCAGCTTCCTAGAGCAGGACTATTTATACAAATATCACATATATCAATGCACATCTAAAATGTGTATATCTGGCAGTTCTGGTATTTTAAAACACAAGCTACCAACCTTCCTTGCAGAAGATTTCTATCTTCCTGTATTTTACCCCTTGCAGTAGATTGAAGTGCGTGGCCTTTTAACCATAGATTTCTGTATTGCTTGTAAGCTTTGACCAGACATTAAGCAGATCTTCTTCAACTCAAGTCATCAACTGTAGTTCCTGGGGAAAATAGGTATAAAACTCTCTCAAGTGATAGAGCAGATTATTGAACATGATGTCAGAATTGGAAAGGGGCATAGGAGCTTGGGAATTCTTAGTTTGTGTTTGAGTGCAATTGGGGAAAAAAAAAAAGTCATTCTGTACAAATGGCATTTGGCTGATTCTACTTCACTCTCAGTTCAGAAAGAGTCCCGAAGCTTTCCACCTGCCTATTCCCTTTTGTTTGCCACACTCTAACCTAAAACAAAAGATCCTGGAAAACAGTCACACTGGTGAGCAAAGCTCTTTCTAAATCCTGAAAGTAATGGCTTTTTGTCTAATACCCTATCGTGTTATGTATTTATTAGCAATACATTTTCCATTTATTTTCTCAAAGATTGCCAATAAAGAACTGAATCACATAAGGGAGTAGCTGTAAACCCTCTGAGTTCCCTAATGTCAAACTCATTAGCATCCGAATAAGCACACAGCAGCACATCATCTGCACAATTGCAATTTTTTACTACTTTTAATAGCGTTTCTCAAAGGGCTCATTTTCAACTTTCTTCAGTGGTTAGTTGGTTCTCAGGGGAAAAGTAGCTTCCTGACGCTCGCAGCTTCCACTCAACAACCCGGCCGTTTGCTGTCAGATGCATCAGCCCTCTGCCCTAACCCCATCTGCTGTCTCTCCCCTCCCTAGGGAGGAGAGTTAAGGCAGCACAGCTGAGATCAACTTGGAGAAGTGCACAGAGGGAGCCAGCAAAATATAAGTTTAGAAGTATGATTTGACACAAAGGGGTTCGAGAAGTCCAAGTACACCAAAATACGAATGGGAAATTCAAGCCCTTTAGAGGCTTCCCACCCCATGTGTCTATCATTAATAACTCCACCCCCAGGCCCCCCCTCCAACCCCGCTTTTTGAAAATGCACTCTTGGCTGCTACCAAAAGGAATCTTCCACAGAAATTGGTTCCCTCTGTTCCTTACATGTGTCCTATTAGTACAGCGAGAAAATACCTTTAAAAACCCACTTTTATTAACTGTCATACTTCAGTCTCTTTCACTGATCTTGAATCATTTTGTAAAACTTCAGGACTTACTAATATATTCATAGAAAACAGACATTCTAGAACTGTTAAGACTTGGAATCTTGACCAAGTTCCCACAACTGGCAAGACCATTAGTTCTAGCCCCACTACCAGGATGAACACTATTTCATTAAAGCTCACATTTTTATGAAACAGCAATCTTAAAAGATAAAACCAGATGACAATTACCAAAGTGTTAGTAGCCTAATGGGCTACACGGTCCTCAAATGTGCTGTCTAATTAAGACATGGCTTTACTTGTTAAATGGAGTCATCACAAAGTACTTCATTTGTCTGCTTTACTATATGCCAATAATAAGGGCCTCTCAGTTCTTTAAAGCTGCTTCATGGGTGACTACTTGCTTCTGAAAAAGACAGTTCCTTCAACCAATGATGCATTAGAATGAATCTGCTGTGTTATTTTTTTAAAAGGGTATATCTGACTATGTTCTATTGGCTGTCTGGGGGCGGGAGGGAGTGAATGACCTAAAGTGATATGATGTGTATATCAGTTGTATCCTTAAAGAGAGAACCACAGATGTATTTGTGGTTCCAAAAAACACAATATTTTTTTTTTAAATCCTCTGAACTACACTCAAAGTAAAAAAATCTAATGATAGAGCCAATAAATTTAATAAGAAAGGTATGTCACACTTGTAGCCCTTTAACTAATAACTAAAAGGAGCTCACCACAACCACCAATCTCTTTTTGGAATTTCTCACCAATGGAACCAGAGTGTTGTATTTCAGTCAGGATGGAAATGTATGGCAGGATCTTCTCGGAAGTTTAAAATGTTAATACAAGCTGCAGAGACCACTCTCAGAGTTAGTTTCTTAAAGAGTAAGATAAAAACAGAAGAATGCCGGCATATTTACCCTAGCACTGCTATCCTTTGAGGCCATGTCTCTACAACTTCTAACAGTCTTAATCTCCTAACCATTTTTCAAAGATTAAAATCTTCAACAATTGTTCATCAGGTAGAATGATGAGAAAGGAGGGGGGAGGGTTATCCTGGCTCAGTTTACTTTTTTGAATGCTAAAGCAAGTCCTTTACAGTCTATAGTTTCCAAGTTTATTTTTATATGAATTGGCAGTATGTTTTAACTTAGAGTCACATTTTGTAGAAACCTTAATGATAACTTAACCTGGACAATCAAGTTCCTTATTTTCTCAGTTGCCATGTAGCTCCATTAAATGTCTAATGAAACTCCAAATCCCCTACTTTTGAATTTCTAATCAATGAACTATTGAATTGATTTTTCTGTCATAGTTAGAGATTGCATATATAAAAATTGGTGCATAAAAATTATGTCAGCCTATCGCCAATGTATATTTACGTTGTCAAAGACAGACGGCTTTCTTCTGCCTAACTCTCCAGGTTGATATTAGGGGATATGCTTCGTTGGCTGGAGCCAATGAAGAGGAGTAGTGAGTTTCTTTTAAGTTGGTTTAGGAAAAGAAAAACACTGTTTATTTGCCACAAGCTTTACTTTTACCATCAGCCTCTATTCAACTACTGATCACAGCAGTGGTAGAGAAAAGAGCTTAAGTAAAACTGGAACTACTCTGCAGGAAAACCAGCTCCCTTGGCAAAGTGGGTCAATGGATTGCTTACTTTCAGGGAGAATGTCTGGATTTTCAATCATTACATATTCAACAAGACTGATTCTTTGATATTAGCAATGAAATTGCCTTTCATGATCCATTTTGAACATTTTTTGCTTCCCTGACTGATGACTGAAGTTCAAATACTAAAAAAAAAAAAAAAAAAAAAAAAAAGCCTTCTTGTTATTCAGCAGAGTTTGTCATTTTAAAAGAATAAAAATAAGATTTGTCAATGTACAAAATTTCCATGAATGGATTTAATTGATTTTTACTGGTTTGCCTGGCTTTTTGAAATCTCTGTCCTCTAGAATCTTTCAAGGAATTTTAACTACAAGGAGTGCTATGGCAACTCTGATCTCCTCCCAGAAAATGCAATTTTTGCTTTGCAAATTACTGAAGTCATACAGAGCATCAAAATAACTTCTCCTTTCCACTGTGATAGATATGAAGTAATTGTACTTGTACCAGCAGTCACTATAGTATTTGTATTTGTCCTTCCAGTACAGGCAAAAATTAAACACAAGCCTCTTCTCCTTGAACTAGAAAGCAATGCCAAAAACTTGTGCAACACCCATATTTCTCCCTGCAAGAGGATTTAACTTTCACCTGATTTAAGTAACAAAATAGCCCTCAAAGATACTTAAAGCCTTGCTGCAATTAACATAACTGCATTTAGATGCCATTCATGACTGATAATTCCAACACCTTGTGGGAAAAAAAAAAAGTTGCATGCTGTAAACATTATAAACATATTCAAATAAGCTTAACACAATCTGCCATGCTTATTTCTGCCTAGATCATGGACCAGCGAAATGGTTAATGCAAATGGATTTATAATTTGCTTTGGGGGGCCAGTTTCTTCTCCTTATTTATTAGCCCAGCTGATGGGGCAGATTTGATGAGGCACTTCTGGAATAATTGAGTCATCACACAAAGAAGGCTGCTAGCATTCAGAGTGGTTTTATCAGCAGCAAGCAGGCCTGATTACTGACAATTACACTCTGATCCGGTGATGGAGGAGAAAGAGCCAACGAGTGGGAAATGTCCGTGTTTCTATCCAGGAATAATTTCTACATTCATTTTACATGCTAAGTGTTTCCTATCTCTGCATAATAAACTGTAAACAGGAATAGATGGCACAATGTCCCTTAATATTTCCTGGTAATGAAGACACAAATGTACAGTGAGTGCTGATAAATATAGATGAAACATAAGCTATTCTCCTAGTCTGTATTGTTACCTTTAAAACAAATGCATTTTTGCGGTAAAAGCATAATCATAGCTAATGCAAAAAAATGACAGAAGATTGAAACTGTCCTTGTAACTACACAGAAACTTTGTAAAAGTCCTGTTAATCACTGCTGCTTTAAAGGCTCAGGAGCTGAAGGTGAGATACTTGAAACCACATCATTTTGTTTCTCAACAGTCAACTGTGAAGAACTCCTTG